TTTGTCTGCCCAGGTGCTGCAGCAGCGTCCCTGGGGAGCAGGGACAGGGCAGGACCGAGCTGGCATCGCCCTCCTGAGCCCAGGGGTCCCAGCTGTGCCCTCTCCTTGGGGACTCTGAAATCTGCCCTGACAGTAGGGGTGACACTGCACCTGAGGCTGGACTGAAAGAGGCTTTGGCAAGAGGATTTGATGCCTTGGGTGCAAGATCCAGCTCCTCACGAGCAGAGAGATGGCACCTGTGACATCAGTCAGTCAGGGGGAGGAGAGGGAATTCTGCCTCAGGGATGGGATTGCAGGGGGTTCCTCGAGTGCCCAGGATGGATTGGCAAACGGGGATACAGACAAAAGGACCCTTGGAAGATTTCTGTGTGAGTGCAGACCCACCCCTGTGGTGGCCACCCCTGTGAGTGCAGTGTCACCTCATGAGGACAGGGCTGGCAAGTGTGAGGCTGCTCCAGGTGTCTGGAAGAGGCCTCGTGCTCTGCTCGGCCCCAGCAGAGCTGGTACCAACACCCCCAGCTGCTGGGCAGCTCTGCTGCCACTGGCTGTGCCCTCACCTGTGTCCCTGTCCCTGGCTGTGCTGTCTTAGTTTAACAAGATTACAATTTAGAAATTAAGAAACTTCAGGTGGAAGTGTGGAAAAGGAAAAGAATCAGCTTTTTATTAACAAAACCTGAATGAACAACAAACGGTGCAATCAAAAGTCTTCAGAAGAAACAAAACAAAGTCTCAATTCCCCAGGTGGGGGGGAGAAACCTGCAGCAACCCGGGGAGGGGGGGCTGGAAGGCAGGACTGTCCCAGCAGTTCAACAGCTGCTTGCACTGAAAAAAAAAGTGCTTTTTCCCACGGGCAGTCTGAAGGGAGAATACCTCAGGCAGTCTGAAGGGAGAATACCTCGCTCTGAGATGGGTCGGTCTCTCTCACTCAGTTGTTCTCTGTGAGGTGTCCTGTGGGGAAAAGAATTTCCTCTCAGGAAAAGAAAAGGAGGTAGCCCAAACCGGGCTCCCTGCTCTGTCCAGTCCTTGGACCAAACCCAAAACCCCCAAACCACCGACTCCCAGCCATCCCCCAGCAAGTGCGTTTCCCGAGAGAGCTCGTCCTCCCCCCCTGCTCCTGCACTGCCCAGCACAAGCAGCTGCGCTCTGTCCCCCCCTCCATCCCAGAAGAAACAGACGGGGAAGGGGGGACATTGGGAAAAAATTCCAACATCTCTTTTCAGACCTATGATACGTGCCCTCACCTGTGTCCTTAGCTATGTCCCTGGCTGTGTCCCTGGCTGTCCCTCACCCATGTCCCTGTCCCTTGGTTCTCTCTCTGCCAGCTCAGTGTGGGGCACACGGGCTGGGGGTCCCTCCTGTGCCCCCTGGGCAGCTGGCGTTGGCTGGGGGGATGTGAGGGCTGGGCCTGCTCAGCACAGCCCCGGCCTCGTGCCCAGC